GCAGCTGGCCCGACAAATTTGCGAAAAATGTCGAGAATACGATCGCCGAATATAACTAGCATTGTTCATGCGAAATTTGTATTTGTCTTCGAGTTTATTGTTACGTCAACATTTACGCGTTTCCTGACATGGAATAGCACTGTAAAAACTTCAATCCTAACTGTCTACTTAGTCTATTTTAAGACAGATCCCGCATTTTCTCGAGAGATATTTTGATGGAGAAAAAAAAAAAACACACACACACACCCCCGAGTTATGTATTGCTGAGTATTAGGGTCTGCTCCACATAAGACAGCTCTCTTAGAAGGCCACAATATGTGCCGAAACATCAAGCCATCACAACAACATGTGACTCGACCCAGATAGCCTAGTCAATACCAAATTATTACACAAGCGTGAAAAGAATTATGCACCACGGATTCAAAAATCACACAAACAGCATACAACAAAATCTCAAAAGTCTCTTATTCTTAAAGATATTGCTGTAAAAGAATGCAGTATCTCTATGTTTGCTCTATTCATGTTACCAAAGGACATATTGTCAGAAAGACGTTAACAAAGAGAATTGAGCGGATTGAGTTCTTGTTGAAAGCACGACTTCAAACTAACGGAAACGTGGATGGCCGCCTCACACGAGCACCAGTGTCCACCAAGAAGCAGCAAGGCCTTCAACATGCAAGCCCCAGCCAAGCACAACTTGACAATGAGAGAAGATTCATGAGTGCATACCAGTTTAGAGAAGTAAATTACTTACTCTATTACGCTGTAAATTATCTGAATCAGTTTTGTGGGTCAGTGATAGCGAAAAATCGACTGAACAAAATTGTTCATACCTTTACCATAAGCGATTTCCGCAGAAATTTATACTCCCGACTATCTGAACCCAACTCGCGGTTCTCAAAAGTTTGAAACAGGGATTGTTAACATGAGACCACTTTACATTGAAGTCTCAACTTGTTTCAAAATCTGGCTCTAAATTGTTGTATATTACTTTCTTCTCAATTAAATTTTTTTTTGTAAACATAAGAAATGACTATTCCTACATATCAAAAAAAGTTACAGGTGAGTTAGTAAACCAAAATTACAATATTTCAATATTACACAACTGGTTTTCAATAAGCTAGAAAGTATTTATTTTGGAGGCACCTCTAGTTTATCTTCAGAAAAACACAACAATCCATTTTAGCAAACAAACACTTACCATGCAAAATAATGTATTCCCAAATGCTGAGATTTTTTAATTGAGAAGAGAAGAGAAGAAGAAGAAGAAGAAGAGAAGAAGAAGAAGAAGAAGAAGAAGAAGAAGAAGGAAGAAGGAAAAAAAAAAAAAAAAAAAAAAAGTTTTTTGGATTTTGGAAAAAATTAACCTTCTGTGCCTTTTTTGTTCGGAATTTTCACCAAGTGTTGCTGAAGAGTTAGGTTATAGAAGTTGCAATAATCCAGAATTAGTAATTGTTACCAATAAGATAAAAAAGTGCTTGACTTAAACACTCTACTTTTTCCTTTAATTCACTTACACACATAGATATATTTGTTGACTACGAAAATCAAGCATCTTAGATACAAAAATCCATTTCAAGTCTTGTATTCGTAGCGTCACCAATCATGTATAAATATTAATTAAAATGGCATAAATATTATATTATCTGAGCAATAAATGTAGGTCAGTGTATTGAAATTGGACCAAAGAGATTCAAATTCAATAGGATAGTACCAACAATCAGGCAATACTTGTCATGTTTATCATTGAACTGCAATGGAAGTGAAGCTTTATAAAATTGCTTATTATAATCAAGATTTTAAAGAAGTGCTAATTTAATTTTTGCTAGGATATCATGCATGGTTCTAGTATCAAAGCAAAGAAAGAAAAAAAAACTTCTATTTTAAGGATGCTGATTCATTTATCAACTGTCCGACAGAGTGAAAAAACTGTTTTGATCCATTAGTCAACTGTCAGATGTCAACTGTCATAATTGAAGGAAATTCTCTAGTTATCTCTTTTCACATCATCATTCCATATACAATAATCCATCAACAGACTATGTTCTACAATGAATTAACTCCCTACTGTGTTAAAATTAAGTCTCTCTTTGCAGCTTACTTACTAGAGCATTTGTGTTGCACTATGATTAATGTTATTACAGAACGTTCAACTCACACCCTTTTAATTCATTTATAAATTTAAATTGAGAATTCAATCTATAATAACATAAATAAATAGAATTATCTCCCTCTGAGGCAAGGTTTTCACAATACCTAAACTTCTTCTTTCAGGATAATCATTGATTAACATATTCACGTGTCGTTGTGTGTATGGTACACATGCCGTTGCGTGCCTGTGTGTGTGTGTGTGTGTGTTGTGGTGAACGGAGTTTTTTAAAAACTTAAATAAGTATTCAAATACATTAAATTTGTAGCATAATAAAAATTGATGGTTTTATGAAAATAGAAATTTATTAATGCAATAAAACATCACATACATATGGCCCCCTCCCCCAAACACATAGCGATTGTGCTAGAAAGCGCATGCGTGCCGTGCCGATCACGACAGAGTGTGAGAGTAAGGGTATGTTACTCCCTCCCTTAAGAAAAACCAATTTTAAAGATTCAGAAACCGATACACATTTAAAAGTAGGTGCATACCTAATGTTTGCCTTTCAATCATTATCAATATTCACATGACCTAAGGTTGTGGACTGAAGGTTGCTTGAATGGCATCATATGCTACTTAAAATACTAAATGTTTCCCCGGCCTCTCTAAAAACGTTCTATAACTCATTTTTTCAAAGAATACTAAGATGGTGTACCTGAATGCATATTATGCGATGAAACCACGCATCTTTACTACAGCCAGAGGGCCAAAGTGTGCTAGGACTAGTGTAGCTGCACAGATTCCAACAAAGAGAGCAAGTTGACTGTTTGCCAGACATAGCTTTCAATACATGCTCCTTTATTCTTGTTTTTGCGATCTGCTGGCAACAGAATACCTGAAAGAAAAAAATAAAGTCTAAAACGCATCAGTCCGTCTGTCTGCAATTCATTCAAGACCTTATTTATTCTCGAAAATTTTGGCATTAAGGTAATCTCTCCTGTTGGGTCCTGGCTCCCTACATGTTGATTTTAGGTTACAACCATCATTGCCAAACAGCAAGAGCTCCAGTCTATGCAACGAACCACAGCCTCTACATTCCCAATGGTCTCCACCATGATGTAAAGAGTGTGTGTAAGAAGGGTGAATATGCATGAATGAAGACGGAAGAATTGCGCACAAGCCAGGCCTCTTGTTAAGAGTTGTGGTTCCGCCACTTGACTGAAGCCACAGAAAACTACAAACAGATCTCTCTCTTTGATTTTCTTTCAGATTGATTCAGGAATATCAAATTTGAAGAAAAGGACAGAGATCCATTTGGGTCTGTCTAGGTTGGTTTGAGTTCTTTTTTTATAAATTGCATTAACTGCAAATCCAATTACATAAAAACTACTGTTTTCTCAGAAAACTGAACATGACAATTTTTAAAGAGCTGATTTTTGGAACAGACTTTGTCCAAGGCAAAAATCTCAATCTTCAATTTTGTAGTTCTAAAATGTTACCAATTTCCAAAAATAGTGAATGCTGAAAATGGGACCAGTACCATTTCTTGATACTTATGAGGAAAAATTTAAAGAAAAGAATAATTTCAATGAAATAAAAAATGCCCTCAAAAATCAAAATATCTGGCTCAAACTCTGAAAGCCATGAGTTTGTTCAGATTGATCAAGGAATATAAATTTTGGAGAAAATCAACTGAACGGTTTAGGTGCTTGCATTGACTACACACCAAACAGACTTTCTGCCAATTGACTTTTCAGTTCTAAAACAGAGATTCTAGTCCAGGTGTCTAAAGGAAATTTTTCTTTACCAAGGCTTGGTAATTCGAGATTGTTTGTTTGTCCCCCCCCCACAAAAAAAATTCTCTCTTTTCTGGACACGATTTCAGAGCTTTTTTCTTACAAACTACATTAGAGAAAGTAAAAACAATGATGGAGTGCAAAGCATTGTAGTGATGCAATTATGCATATTATAAAGCATTAAATCATAATAAAAAGTAGTAAAGTAAAACATTGCATTGTGATGAATTGAAGTTCAGAACGCAAAGATTCAAAGAGAATATTTTCAAAAAAACCTTTTGTTTTCATTTGATTTTTACGTACACAAATCAAGCAACCCACATATAGTATAACCCCGTTTTTAAGTTTCCAGAAATTATACTTCCTGCAGTTTACACAGTTTTACACTAGTCCCTTCAAGCTTCCTATGTTCATACTGTTAAATTATCCCCTCATTTACATTTTGAAAATATTTTTTTCCACATTTTGTACTTTTTGAAGCCATTACGGATGTGTAAATGCTATTTTTAAAAAGATTTTTGGTTTCCTCAGCTAGTGTTCTATCATGTGACTAGATTTATACAGTCAGCTACAAATTCTGTTTGATTAGGGAATATCGATTTTAGAGAAAACCGACTGAATGGTTTAGGTGCTGGCATTGGCCACAGACGGAGGGAGACAGGATAACATTTCGCCATAAATCAGTAACAAGGACCCACAAAACATGGGTTCTGGATACAGAAGTAATTTAGTGGAAATAGCAACAGGATGTAACCACTTTCTCTTAACCACGTACAGAAATAAAAGTTTTTCTGCGAAAAATTTGCCGTTTTTCAGCGCACTAAGTTTCTCTTCTTATTGCTAGTGCAAGAAAGCAAAAATACAAAACTTCTTGAATTTCAAAGTGGAAAATATTTACTAAAAAAGGATTGTAATATGATAAAGGAGTAATATGATTTTTCCTCGATTCCCACAATTTACAGGGTTTTGTTTTCTTCCCCTTTGTCCCTTGAAAGGTGTAAGAGGGGCTATTCTGCATATCTCCCCTAATACAAATCCAACTTATAATAAATATGACCTACACAGAAAACAAATAGAGCACAAAGCAAATTTTACAGAAATTTGAAACTTACTGTTCTGGTATCCAAATGCCATGAGTTCGCATTGACTCAATAAACCTTGTAGTATTGTTGCACAAAGGACACTTGAAGAAATATCCAGCACTTAGAGCAAGTCTCTGAAATGAATAACACCAATTACTAATTATGCCATTCATTCACAAACCATTAATATGTTATTGAAATAACAATGCATATGTTAAGAAAGAAGTTGTTTCTTAAGCACTCTGATCATATGCCAGTGATAAGGGCAACCAAGTATTACGGATACATTTTGGAAAAACAAACTAACTGATTTATAATTATCTCTAAAATTATTTTTATGTATATACTCATAAGAAGACGCTAGATCAGTGTTGAAACTTAATAACATGTATGAATAAATTGTATAAATATGAATAAATAGCTATTTTCATTCATATAATTACACAATCATACATTGAATCAATTTTTGTATAATCGATTTGAAGCTTAAATACAGCTTATAAGTCTTCCAATAAAAACTAAGATTAAAGGAAGCTTTAAGGAATGAATAATTTAAATATAATCATGTTGAAACACCTTTTAATACCAATTTCATCAATAATTGTTCTACTACTGTGGGGTAGAAACTCTGAGAAAATACCAATAATGGAGACGCTAATAAGGCCTTGATACATGTATAGGAACATAGCCACAAAGCGTAATAGCTCCAAAATATTTAATTATATCATTCAGTAATTAATACTAAATTCTGTACGTGATCATATAACCATCCTAAGAAAATAAACCTTAACATGAACTACTATTTATCTATTTGCCATAAATAAAAGAGTCTGATGGATTTTTCAACTCTATCAAGTTAACCTTAACAAGAACACATAGTGATACTTTTTTAAATTGTTAGAGTGTCATAAACTTCACATTTGTAACACAAAGCAAAAATAAAACATTTATTTTACAATTATAATTTTTTTCTCGCTCTGGCGTCATGAATGATCCCGCTTGGTATTCAATGTGTGAGTATTACTTTTTCTGTCAAAATCGTACTTTCTTAAATTGTCATCATTGTTGGACTTCTTTTATCTTTTTCCTCCATAAATTTTAGAGTATGATGTCGATTGTTGGATGCATGACATCAAGGCCTGTGCACCGATTTATATGAATGTATTTTATATACAATTTGCTACGAGAAAAATGTCAAAAAGAAGTCCTGAAATGTTCGTTATGAATAAAGTAACTCACTGTATCTTACTTTTATAAGACGAGGACTTAGAAAATGATAGAATGTCAGAAACATCTAAAAACTGAACTGGATAAAATGGTACACGAAAACTTTTGTGAAAAGAACTCCAAGAAGGTGACCTTACGCTTTGTTTCTCATCATAGTTGACAAAGGATCTTTGAATGCTTCCATAATATAGAAAAGAAAAAAATGAACTCCAAACAAATTTTGTTCATGAAAGGTGCACAATTTTGTTAGAACTCAGAAATGAATAAGTCATGCCACATGCCAAGCAACGTTTACAGAATCCCAATGACCTACTTGAAAGAACAATAAATGTGGTACAAAATATCATACCAGAAGAAATAAAAGAAGTTCACACTGTTGCAAAACACTATCAAAGAGAAACCGATATCAATTATGCCCTATTTAGAAAAGCTGATAGAAAGTGAAACACGTCTTTGTAAAGTGTGCAAGTATGTGTTTTCAAGCCACCTCAAACATTTTACAATAATTGTTTGTGACGCATGTAGTAAAAATATTAAGTAAATATGGGGAAATGCTAAATAAATCATTATTGACTGTCAATTAATTTGTATTATCTCTTAAAAATGTTATCCTAATCATTTATAACACTTGAAACACAATAATTTGATGGGGTCCATGAAGAACCCTCTTGTTGGTTGATGTAGGTACCTCGGTACTCGGAAGGTTAATAACTTGTAAGGTTGGCTAATATTTGAACTGATATTCATTACATTTATTGCACCAACATTAGCTTATCTAAACATATTTACATACTAAAAACTACATAATTAAAGCAGAACTTTTTGTGATATAAGCACATAAAATATTTATGAATTAAGTTGAACCTCTGGAATAACACATGTGCATTAACAACAATTAAACTACACAGCACTGCAGGGAAATATATTCAATCATAAGTAGACTTGCTGGCAAAAATAGATAACTATAGTCCAGAGTAAAAATAAATAAATAAATAAATAACTAAACAACTTAAATTTGTGGCACAAGCAGATTCTCCAATATGTTGCATAATAAGAATTGAAACCACAAGTTATGAAGTCACTATTCCAAACAACCTATTTAAAATTAAATGTCAGGAAATTGTTCACACTCCATTCGTATACTGTGAGCAGCCTTATCTCTACCAAAAATATGGTGTTAATTTACTTGAGAAAGAAAATTGTATTGAAGTATTTTCATTGAAACATTTTATTTTATTTGAAAATGAATAAAATATCGTATTTACCCGTATATAAGTCAACCCTCTACTTCTGAAGAGGCCTCCTGAGAATTCCTCTTGTTGTATTGACTGTTCTTCAATAAGATCGTAATAATGGTTTTTGTCACTAAATAATGTCACTATAAATCATGTTTTTTGGGTTTTTGTCACTATAAATAATGTTTTTTGTTTCTATCCGTACTGCACTTGTGAATGCAATCTATTTCTGTTCAAAATGCAGATCTGTATTCGCCGGACGTCAAACAGACTCCCCCGCATGTAACAATATCTCGGCATTTACTTTCACGTTACGTTTCATTTAATACAATGCCATTCTGCCAAAGAGTCTCTTTACCGGCCCATTCAAAAACAGCAGTCTGCATTGCCCGACAAATTTGCGAAAATGTCGAGAATACGATCGCGAATATAACTACGCATTGTTTCATGCGAAATTTGTATTGTCTTCGCAGTTTATTGTTACGTCAACATTTACGGGTTTCCTGACATGGAATAGCACTGTAAAAACTTCAATCCTAACTGTCTAGGCTTAGTCTATATAAGACGATCCCGCATTTCTCGAGAGATATTTCGATGGAGGAAAAAAAACACACACACACACAGCCCGAGTTTGTATTGCTGAGGCTATTAGGGTCTGCTCACATAAGCAGCATGCTCTTAGGAAGGCCACAATATGTTGGCCGAAACATCAGCCATCACAACAGACATGTGACTCGACCCAGATAGCCTAGTCAATACAAATTATTACACAAGGTGAAAAGAATTATGCACACGGATTCAAAATCACACAACAGCATACACAAAATCTCAAGAAGTCTCTTATTCTTAAAGATATTGCTGTAAAAGAATGCAGTATCTCTATGGTTTGCTCTATTCATGTTACCACAGGACATATTGTCAGAAAGGACGTAACAAAGATGAATTGAGCGATGAGTTCTGTTGAAAGCACGACTCAAACTAACGGAACGTGGATGGCCGCCTTCACACGGAGGCACCAGGTGGTGCCACCAAGAAGCAGCAAGGCCCTTCACATGCAACCCCAGCCAAGCACCACTGACAATGAGAGGAAGGATTCATGAGTCATACCAGTTTAGAGGAAGTAAATTACTTACTCTATTACGCTGAAATTATCTGAATCAGTTTTGTGGGTCAGTGATAGCGAAAAATCGACTGACAAAATGTGTTCATACCTTTACCATAAGCCGATTTCCGCAGAAATTGATACTCCCCGACTGATCTGAACCAACTCGCGGTTCTCAAAAGTTTGAAACGGGTATTGTAACATTGAGACCACTTTACATGAAGTCTCAACTTTTTCAAAATCTGGCTCTAAATTGTTGTATATTACTTTGTTCTCAATTAATTTTTTTTGTAAACATAAGAAATGACTAGTTCCTGCATATCAAAGAAAGGTTACAGGTGAGTTAGTAAACCAGAAATTACAATATTTCAATATTACACAACTGTTTTCAATAATGCTAGAAAGTATGTGATTTTGGAGCACCTCTAGTTTATCTTCAGAAACGCAACAACTCCATTTTAGCAAACAAACACTTACCATGGCAGAAATAATGTATTCCCAAATGCTTGAGATTTTTTTAATTGAAGAAAAAAAAAAAAAAAATTGTTTTGGATTTTGTAAAATTTAACCTTCTTGTGCCTTGTTTTGTTTCGAATTTTACAAGTGTTGGCTGAAGAGTTAGTGTGATAGAAGTTGCAATAATCCAGAATTATGTAATTGTTACCAATAAGATAAAAAAGTGCTGACTTAACACTACTAGTTTTCCTTTAATTCACTTACGCACTAGATATATTTGTGACTACGGAAATCAAGCATCTTAGATACAAAAATGCCATTTCAAAATACTGTATTCTTAGCGTCACAATCATTTATAAATATTAATTAAATTCATAAATATTATATTATCTGAGCAATTAAATGTAGTCAGTGTATTTGAAAATTGACAAAGATATTCAATTCAATAGGATAGTACCAACAATCAGGCAATACTTGTCTGTTTATCTTGAACTGCAATGGAAGGTTGCGAAGCTTTATAAAATTCTTATTATAATCAAGATTTTAAAGAAGTGCTAATTATGATTTTTGCTAGGAATATCATGCATGGTTTATTATCAAAGCAAAGAAAGAAAAAAAACTTCATATTTTAAGGATGGCTGATTCATTTATCAACCGTCAGACAGAGTGAAAACTGTTTTGATCCATTAGTCAACTGTCATATGTCAACTGTCAATAATTGGAGGAAATTCTCTAGTTTCTCTTTTCACATCATTATTCCATATACAAATAATCCATCAACAGACTATGTTCTACAATGAATTAACTCCCTACTGGTGTAAATGAAGTCTCTCTTTGCAGCTACTACTAGAGCATTGTGTTGCACTATGATTAATGTTATTACAGAACGTTCAACTCACACCTTTGTTAATTCATTTATAAATTGTAAATTGAGAAGTTCAAGTCTATAATTAAATAAATAAATAGAATTATGCCTCCCTCTGAGCAAGTTTTGTCACAATACCTAAACTCTCTTTCAGGATAATCATTGATTAACATATTCCACGTGTGTGTGTGTATGGGTACACATGCGTGCGTGTGTGTGTGTGTGTGTGTGTGTGTGTGTGAACGGAGTTTTTTTAAAACTTAAATAAGTATTCAAATACTATTTAAATTTGTAGATGAATAAAAATTGATGGTTTTATGAATTATTAGAAATTTATAATTGCAATAAAACATCACATACATATGTGCCCCCTCCCCCAAACACAGAGCGATTGTGCTAGAAAGCGCATGCGTGCGTGCGCGATCACGACAGAGTGGGAGAGTAAGGGAGATTTACTCCCTCCCTTAAGAAAACCGAATTTTAAAGGATTCATGAACGATACACATTTTAAAAGTAGTTGATACCTAATGTTTGCCTTTCAATCATTATCAATATCACCATGACCTAAGGTTGTGACTGTAAGGTTGCTTGTAATGGGCATCAATATGCCTACTTAAATACTAAATGTTTTCCCCGCCTCTCTAAAAACGTTCTATAAACTCATTTTTTCAAAGAATACTAAGATGGTGTTACCTGAATGCATATGCGATGAAACCACGCATCTTTACTACAGCAAGGGGCCCAAAGTGTGCTAGGACTAGGTGTAGCTGGCACAGATTCCAGGCAAATAGAGCAAGTTGACTGTTTGCCAGACATAGCTTTCAATACATCTCCTTTGATTCTTTGTGTTTTGCGATGTCTGCAACAGAATGACCTGAAAGAAAAAAAAAAGTCTTAATAACGCATCAGTCGTCTGGTCTGCAATTCATTCAAGACATTGATTTATTCTCGGAAATTTTTGGCATTAAGTAACTTCTCTCCTTTGGGTCGCTGCTGCCCTACATGTTGATTTGTAGGGGTTTACCCAACCAGTCATTGCCAAACAGCAAAGAGCTCCAGGTCTATGCACAACCACAGCCTCTACATTCCCAACTGGTCTCCCACCATGTATGGTAAAGTAGTGTGTGTAAGTAAGGGGTGAGGATATGCCATGAATGAAGACGGAAAGATTGCGCACAGCCCATGGCCTCTTTGTTAAGAGTTGTGGTTCCGCACTTGACTGAAGCCACAGAAAACTACAGAACAGAGAAACCAGCCGCTAAAATTCTCATCCAGAGAGCAGTTGAATTCCGCCTAGCTATGTAGTTAGTGTCGAAAATCCTGCCACCATCCAGCCATCAGGACTCGAACTCTTGGGCCTCCTGGTCAAGACGGACAGCAAAGACATCAATTTTGATGGGGACTCACCTAAAATGATCTTTCTTGGACTGAAGATTGCGTTCAAAAGTGCTACAAACCATGTAATATTAAAATATTAGTCTATAAATTGACAGAAATTCGTCTAATGAAAACTTGTAAATTACAAAAGACTGCAACTATTTCTCTTTTACAGCGAATTTTAAACAAGATAAGACTGCAACATGTTTTAAGAGGTCACTCAAGGTTTCGGAGAAAAATTGCCATTAGTACTGATAACAGTTAAATGCATGTTGTGGACAAGAATGGAGGAAGAGATTTGCAGTGAAGTTAGGAAGTATTGCTGTAAGTGAAATTTTAATTGATTTTTATTACTATTAAATACAAATTACACTTTAGAAAATACTGGAAGCTTCTTGGCGCACTTCCATTTAATAAGAAAAATCATTCAATACTCCAGTACCTCGTGCACCCTTTTTTCTCTTCACTGTACCTGTTTCTTCCGCTATATTTCCCACTAGACTAGATGTTGGCGTTAACACCTTCAGAGAATTTCGCAAGACAGCATGCATGAAACTCTCGTAGGCAAAAAGCACGAAAATCTTAAATAAATTACCTACCCTGCAAAATAATCAACTCGAGATATGACTGTTCTGCATTGTCTGACATTGCAACCCCATGCAAGGCAACACTCAATAATGGTCATATTTTTGCTTTCTCTTAGCTGCTTACGCAGTAAAGAAAAAGTATTATAATGGTGCATGAAAAAGCTGCAAATTTTCAGTCGGAAAAACTCTTATAGCTCGACCTTGGTAACGAAAAAGTAGATAGACAATGCTACTGTATATATTAAATTACTTTAACATGAGAGAGGGGGAAAGCGAGAGGAGAGGAGAGAGGAGAAAGTGAGAGGAGAGAGGGAGGGAGCGAGAGGGAAAGGAGAGTTGGAGGGAGGGAGAGAGAGGGAAAGGAGAGTTGGAGGGAGGGAGAGAGAGGGAAAGGAGAGTTGGAGGGAGGGGGAGAGAGGGAAAGGAGAGTTGGAGGGAGGGAGAGAGAAAGATCTGCATCTTATGCATCTACAATTATGAAGGTAAATATTTTTTTTCTTAATGAAATGTGTCTGTGGGGAAACATCTCTAACTACGGTCATGTTCAATTTTTCTACAATATCAGTATTTTTTCCTTTAAATTTTTCACTATGTAGCAAAGAACAGTACAGAAAGTGGCCCCGATTCCATTTTCGACACACTCAGACTTTTCCGTATTAGTTTTTTTATTTCCTTTGTCCTCGGCTAGCTATATGAACTTGCAAACTGCCATCTATCGTTGCCCAAAATGCATTCTTTAATACTTTTATTCATTTTTTGGTTTTCTAATAGGAAATATTATGTAAAGAATAGTAAAAAACAGTAAAACCTTGTCATAAATGGCAATTTTCTTTGCAAAATGTGAAGCCGTTTTCAAAAAATTGCGCTTATACTGTAAATTCGAAATTTTAAAGATATTTTTCACAGATTTTTTTTGAGTTTTCGAAAAACTCCATTAGAAGTATTTACAATTTGTTGGAAATATGCATATTAACGGCGTGAGAAATCTTTCAAATAAATTACATTTATGTAATTTTCGCAAAAACAAAAACCCCGAAATGAACTTTTCGTCATATTAAAGAGTCCAGTTACCACTATCCGTTCGAAAAGTTTGAAGAAAAAATGGCGTTTGAGCGTTCCTGAAAATAGGGAAACTGAGCTCCTTTTCATGGAAAACTGTTGTTTTTCGAGAAACTTTATGCAACATTATTTAAAGCACATGTACTCATATATATGAACAAATTGCCACTAATTTAAATATTAACAACGTAAGAGAAGTAAAAAATAAAATCAAAAATTTAAACTTGCACATATTATGCAAAAACTACTAAAATTTCAGACATGATCTTAATGAAAGAACTCACTATGGACTAGTTTATGAAAAATTTCAAAATGTTCAGGGGGCTTCGTGCAATGTAACCCAAAACTTGGAAAAAGGTTTTCAAAATCGTGGGGCCTGGGGTAAAGCCAGATTGACCGGGCAACTGGGGAATATTCATTTTGTAAAAAATCATACATATGGTTTAGGCTGATTGACGGACGGACAGACAGACATTTCGGAAATAAACATGTTTTTTGGTATCAGGGGACCCCAAAACTTGCATTTTCGTTGAAATCTCGAAATCCATTGACCGCAGCATTACTTACGTTTCCCTATAGTACGTATCTCTGTGTTTTCGTACGTATACGGAAAAGTAAAATTTGGAAACATGGCAACATGACAGCTGCAATTTCTAAGGATTTTTGTGATCGTTGCCGGTCTTGTTAATCGTACGATGTAGATAACATTCTTATGAAAGGAAATAGATTTAAGGAATGTCATACTTTTAATGCAGAACTAACAAATACACTTCTCTTACGTAAAGAAGTATTGTTCGCCGATCAAGGTATTTAGTAATTGTTAGCTCACTTCGATGCGATCAAGGCAAGCTGTTGTCAAATATTATTCTTTCTTTTCTGTATGTGCCACATATACTGTAATAGTTAAATTTATTCATGTTTGTTTCATTTGTAAAAGTTAGAAATGACTGTTCCTGGCACTGGCACTTGGTTTAAATTGGAGTTTTTCAAGTAACTTTTTTAATTAGGCAGTTTCGGGAGTTTTTAGTATGGCAGAAATTACAATATTTCGTTACAATTCAATATTGCGAAAGAATGTGATGATTTAGCACCTCTAGTTAACATTATGGATCAAAACAGCACATTCAACAAAGTTGTGACTATCTAATACCGGTTAATCTCCAAAATATGTCTGGCAACTGGTCATGGAGCCATGCGTCAGGGAGATGTGTAATAGAATTGATTCAAATAATATTATAAGTGAGCCAGAAAGCAAGTGGATCTAGGACGGTACAGAATTCCCTTTACCGCGCGCCCCGGCGAGTGCTGACAGACATGAGAGGAAGTTATTGTTACGAGCAGGCGCGCCCCGCACACGACGGTGACTCAGCGCGACGCCGCTGTGCACACGGGCCTAAAATTCTGGGCACTCCCGGATCGGGGAATCTGAAAGTATGCTTTCAACGGCTAGCGAGTCGCCGCGGTTGGTTAAAATGTCGCGTGATTGCTGGGGCCCAAACGTCTCGAAATGAGCGGGGGAAGACCATGTGACCCCGCGAACCAAGGGAGGTGACTGCGGACGCGTTTTCATCCGTCTCTTCGGTCGGCAGGAAGCAGAGAGAGAGCAGTTGGTTTTCGAAAGAGAGGAGTGCGGTTCAGCCCGTGAGGCGTAGGAAATGTAAGGTTTTCCGGTACAAGTCGCGGGGCTATATGAACTATTATGGACCGTCGAACGCCGCGCCACGCGCCGCCGACCCCCGCATAGTCAGTTGCGGGCCGCCGTGTTAACGCACCTACCTGCACCGCCGTGCGCATCACCGAATTTCCATGTGTCACCTTGATTTGGTCGCAAGGCAATCACCTCTGAGCGAATGACTGCGAACTGTAATCGCTTGAGTGCCGGGATCTGTGCATGGTCGTCCCCGCCTCCCACGACCAATGCCCGGAGCCAAAACCGGCGGCGGCTCGCCCACCCGCGGAGCGTTGGGGGCACATGCAACCGCACCGCCACCCAAGCGACCATTCACCGCCCCGCTGATCTCCAATCCTCGGACAAAGCCCTCACCGGGAGTCGATGGTCGCTGGGACAACGGGCTGTTGAGGGAAGTTTTAAGTTAGGATGTAATCGAAGGCTTCACCGACGAATTACTAAATTAAACCACATGTTATAAACCAAACCACTTTTTTTCAATACATTTGTGCATGCTTAAAATCAGTCACGTAGACGCCCTCATTTCAGTACCAGGGCGACGCTGCGGAGCCGGTAATAAACGAGTGGGTTCACCCTGAGGTGCAACCACCCCTGCAGGTCACAATATGGCCCTCCCAACTTAGGAGCAAGAACTATGTAAATGATAAATAAAAGAAGGGGGTTACAGTATTTTGCTTTAATTGATGAAGGCTAAGTAGAATGCTGATGGTGAAATAAGTCCACAACATACACCATGAACGGAATGTTTGGCTACGTGACACTATGTCATCACATGCTAACACTAGAGCCATTAACCCCACAGCGGTGATACTGGGTCTGTGAGACCCATGATGTTCCTGACATAGTTGCAGCGGATCGAGTTTCGCAGATAAAACGTTGAGCTTCTCAGTACCTTTTCATCCCCTTCCATTCAGCAGCGTCATGGCGATTCCGGATAATTTTATCAATTCTTATGATTACGACGGCTCGTTTTTCCTGTGCCGGGTCTGTCTGACCCGAAGTCACAATTGGCGTCCAGGTCGTACACACTTGTGCTTGAGATTTGTTCGCGGAAGTTTCCTCGTCAGTGATTTTGCTCTCGTATCGCAGAAAATTGATCATACTGGTGACGCACGGAAACCAGAAATAATTACATTTTACAATTTCACGAAAGTATAGATG